GGGGAGAGGAAGGGAGGAAATTTGAGGGAATGAGGGGGGAGAGGGAGGGAAGGGAGGAAATTTGAGGGAGTGGGGGGGAGAGGGAGGGAAGGGAGGAAATTTGAGGGAGGGGAGGGAGAGGAAGGAAATTTGAGGGGGGAAGAGGAAGGAAATTTGAGGGGGGGAGAGGAAGGAAGGAAATGAGAGGTAGGGGGAGAAGGAAGGAAATGAGAGGTAGGGGGAGAAGGAAGGAAATTGGAGGGGGGGAGAAGAAGGAAATTGGAGGGGGGAGAGGTGCTGAAATTTGAGGGGGGGAGAGGAAGGAAATTTGAGGGAGGGAGAGGAAGGAAATTTGAGGGGGGGAGAGGAAGGAAATTTGAGGGGGGAGGGAGAGGAAGGAAATTTGAGGGAGGGGCGAGAGGAAGGAAATTTGAGGGGGGCGAGAGGAAGGAAATGAGAGGGAGGGGGAGAAGAAGGAAATGAGAGGGAGGGGGAGAAGAAGGAAATTGGAGGGGGGAGAAGGCAATGAGAGGGAGGGGGAGACAAAGGAAAATGGAGAGAGGGGGAGAAGAAGGAAATTGGAGGGGGGGGAGAAGGAAATTGACGGGGGTAGGGGGAGAGATTGACATCCATCACACACACACACAATGCACCCCTTGCACACAGAAAAACACACAATGTATTACACACAGACACACATACACAAGCAATGCATCCCTTACACACAGCAACACACAATGCACCCCTTTACACACACTCAGTGCATCCCTTACAGACGCACACACTGCATCCCATACATACACAAACTCACCTTGCAGCTCTTACACATACAAACACAGATTCACACAATGCATTCCTTACACACATCAGGACATCCCCCACACACACACTCCACCCCCTGTGAACAAACTCATTGGTGGAACAGGAAGGTGGACCCTGGGACCCAGACCTTGAGCTGTGTAAAGGGCCCTCAAAAAAAATGGAGCTGCTTCCCGTTCTCCCAGAACAGTGACTTTTGTGACCACAGTTACAAACCGCCTCCAGAGAGCCTGTTGTACACCAGACCAGTGGAGCCAGACGGCAGCTAGAGCCCATCATCATCCCCATCTGGTTGTAAGTAGGCAATCTAGTATATTATTCGTGGCACTAATCTCTAATTTACCTCACATTAAAGGGACACTATAGTCCCCAGAACCACTGCAGCTTAATGTAGTGGTTCTGGTGTCTATAGCCTGTCCCTGCAGGCCTTTTATTGTAAACACGGCAGATCATATGGGTGGGTCATTGTGATGTCACATGGGGGGCGGCAAACTTTACTTTTTCCTAGGGCGGCAAAAATCCTTGCACCGGCCCTGCAGACACTGCATCCCTGTGGGCGGACTCAGGAGGGGGGTCACGGACGGACGGACTCGGGTGCAGGCACCGGTGGGCCCAGACCTTGAGCTCTGTCAGGGGCCCCAAAATTTCTGATGGCAGCCCTGCTTTAAAGCCAGATACATGAAAGAGTCATAGTCACAGGGGAGGAGGCTGGCAAGCAGGCCTCTCCAGGACCAAGTGGCGAAGGGCACTTCGTCACAGTCCCATTCTATGACCTCCACTCTTCCTGTCCTGAGCTCCCTTCTTCCTGTCCTCTGACCTCTCCTGCTTCATGTCCTGCCACCCTCTTTCATGTCCTCTGACCTCGATTGCTTTATATTATATCCTGCTCTCCTTCACTTGCTGTTTTGACCTGCTCAATGTCCTGTATTATAACATCCCCACTTCCGGTCCTGATGTTCCTTCTACTTCTTCTACCTGCCCTCTGACCTCCTCTGCTTCCTGTCCTGACCTCCCATCTTCCTGTCCTCCTCTTCTTTCTGTTCACTGTTTTTCCCAGCTTTTTGTCTTGACCTTCCTTTTTCCTGCTTCTGAGCTCCCCTGCTTTCTCTCCTGACTTCCCTTCTTCTTGTCCTTCGATCTCTGTTCTACCTCTCCTGACCTTCCTGTCCTGACCTCCCCTTCACCTTGCTTTCAGAGTTCCCCTGCTTCCTCTCTTGATCTCCTTCTTGCTGTCCTCTGACAGTCTATATATTATACTATCCGCCCCGGGCTCGGGACCCCCAGAAATAGCTCTATGTGAGCCCAGCGTAGTGACAGTCTATATATTATACTATCCGCCCCCGGCTCGGGACCCCCAGAAATAGCTCTATGTGAGCCCAGCGTAGTGACAGTCTATATATTATACTATCTGCCCCCGGCTCGGGATCCCCAGAAATAGCTCTATGTGAGCCCAGCGTAGTGACAGTCTATATATAATACTATCCGCCCCCGGCTCGGGACCCCCAGAAATAGCTCTATGTGAGCCCAGCGTAGTGACAGTCTATATATTATACTATCCGCCCCAGGCTCGGGATCCCCAGAAATAGCTCTATGTCAGCCCAGCGTAGTGACAGTCTATATATTATACTATCCGCCCTCGGCTCGGGACCCTCAGAAATAGCTCTATGTCAGCCCAGCGTAGTGACAGTCTATATATTATACTATCCGCCCCCGGCTCGGGATCCCCAGAAATAGCTCTATGTGAGCCCAGCGTAGTGACAGTCTATATATTATACTATCCGCCCCCGGCTCGGGACCCTCAGAAATAGCTCTATGTGAGCCCAGCGTAGTGACAGTCTATATATTATACTATCCGCCCTCGGCTCGGGACCCTCAGAAATAGCTCTATGTGAGCCCAGCGTAGTGACAGTCTATATATTATACTATCCGCCCTCAGCTCGGGACCCCCAGAAATAGCTCTATGTGAGCCCAGCGTAGTGACAGTCTATATATTATACTATCCGCCCCCGGCTCGGGACCCCCGGAAATAGCTCTATGTGAGCCCAGCGTAGTGACAGTCTATATATATATTATACCATCCGCCTGCCTGGGACCCCAGAAATAGCCTCCATGAGCCCAGCTGAGTGATAGCCCATATATACTCATCCTCCCGCCTCGGGACCCCCAGAAATAGCTCTATGTGAGCCCAGCGTAGTGACAGTCTATATATTATACTATCCCCCCGCTCGGGACCCCCAGAAATAGCTCTATGTGAGCCCAGCGTAGTGACAGTCTATATATTATACTATCCCCCCGCTCGGGACCCCCAGAAATAGCTCTATGTGAGCCCAGCGTAGTGACAGTCTATATATTATACTATCCGCCCCCGGCTCGGGACCCCCAGAAATAGCTCTATGTGAGCCCAGCGTAGTGACAGTCTATATATTATACTATCCGCCCCCGGCTCGGGACCCCCAGAAATAGCTCTATGTGAGCCCAGCGTAGTGACAGTCTATATATTATACTATCCGCCCCCGGCTTGGGACCCCCAGAAATAGCTCTATGTGAGCCCAGCGTAGTGACAGTCTATATATTATACTATCCGCCCCCGGCTCGGGACCCCCAGAAATAGCTCTATGTGAGCCCAGCGTAGTGACAGTCTATATATTATACTATCCGTCCTCGGTCTATATATTATTATTATTATTGTTATTGTTATTATTATTATTATTATTATTATTATTATATTGAAGTGATAATATTTGAGTTCTGGGAAGCTCCAATCAGCTGATTGACTCTGTCTCCCCCCCCCTCCCGGGCGGCAGTTGGTTTGTCCCTGGGCCGAGCTCCCCCCGCCCCCCAGCCGGCTCGCTCAGTGGTTCAGTCTGACAGGGATGAAGGCGGACTAGGATGTGACCGGCACCGGGGAAATGGCCTCCAGCTCCAGCGACATCGTCCGCCAGGGCTACGTCAGGATGAAGAGCAGGAAACTGGGGGTGCGTCCGCCTGAACCCCGACATGCTGCATCCCTGTACCCCAAAACATGGCATGCATCCCTGTACCCCCAAATACTGCATCCCTGTACCCCAAATACTGCCTGTACCCCCAAACACTGCATGCCTGTACCCCCAAACACTGCATGCCTGTACCCCCAAACACTGCATGCCTGTACCCCAAATACTGCCTGTACCCCCAAATACTGCCTGTACCCCCAAATACTGCATCCCTGTACCCCAAATACTGCCTGTACCCCAAATACTGCCTGTACCCCCAAATACTGCCTGTACCCCCAAATACTGCATCCCTGTACCCCAAATACTGCCTGTACCCCCAAATACTGCCTGTACCCCTAAACACTGCATCCCTGTACCCCCAAATACTGCATCCCTGTACCCCAAACACTGCCTGTACCCCAAATACTGCATCCCTGTACCCCCAAATACTGCATCCCTGTAACTCAAATACTGTCTGTACCCCCAAACACTGGCTGTACCCCAAATACTGCCTGTACCCCCAAACACTGCATCCCTGTAACCCAAATACTGCCTGTACCCCCAAATACTGCATCCCTGTACCCCCAAATACTGCATCCCTGTACCCCCAAACACTGCCTGTACCCCAAATACTGCCTGTACCCCCAAACACTGCATCCCTGTACCCTCCCTGTACCCCCAAACACTGCCTCCCTGTACCCCCAAACACGGCATCCCTGTACCCCAAATACTGCATCCCTGTACCCCAAATACTGCATCCCTGTACCCCCAAACACTGCATCCCTGTACCCCAAATACTGTCTGTCCCTCAAACACTGCATGCCTGTACCCCCAAACACTGCATCCCTGTACCCCCAAACACTGCCTGCACCCCTGTACCCGCAAACACTGTCTGCACCCCTGTACCCCCAAACACTGTCTGCATCCCTGTACCCCAAAACATGGCATGCATCCCTGTACCCCAAAACATGGTGTGACAAACTTGCCCTCACCATGAGCTCCTGGAGGAGCCTGCTTGCTAGCCTCAGGACTATGGGCCATGCTAAAAGGCTATTGAAAGACTGGGTTTGTGGGATTCCCTTGGACTCTTCGGGAACCGAACCAACCCACGAACTGCAGACCACCTCTGAGCTTATTGACCATTGTTAACCTCTCCTGACAGTTCTTTAAGTCTGGGTTCTAATTGTGCGGCTGGGTGGCCGTCGTTCGTATGCACGAATGCGTGGGAACTGTGTGGCGGCCATCTTGCTTGCGAGAATGCAGGCAGTGGTGTTTGGGCATCAATCGCGTGGAACTAAAATCGAACACTGAAACTCTCGAACACCGCTGAATTTGGACGAAAGCCTGCTCCTTCCCCACATACGTCAGAAGAACGCCATTTTGGTAGGTTTGTTCGTATGGTTCATACGAACAAACGCTACCAAGAAGCCAGAGTGTGCGTTCAGTATTTGTTTCACATGGAACTCCCGAAGTTGACTGTTCAAAAATACAAAAAGCCCTGGAACTGTTTTGGGCATAGGACCATGTGTGTTGCCAGTCAGAACCGGTGGCGATTCGGGCGTGTTTGTGGGATCTGAGCACTTTTCGGATATGTTGGGCGCTCAGATCCAGGCTATCCGGATGTATAGACTGTGGGGGTTCCTATGTGGGAAATATGTATTTGTATGTGTTTTCATATTTTGTATCGTTTTGCTGAGTAATGGTGATACTGTGTTTTTGGGGCATATTGTGGGTTTGTAGGTGTGTCACTGTACTGAGATTCTGTATATAAAGGAGTCATTTGGCTGGGAATAAACCGTTCTTCAAGCCTCTGCTCATGTATGGATGATACTGCTGTT